TGCTAGCGATGCTCGATAAGGAAAAGGGATTTTCCTTACAAGGCACATGCTTTCCCATTCTTCTGCACTATGGCACATGCTGCAGTTTTGAGGAGGCTCGCAATTGGTCCGTCGTTGGGACCATTTTATCCCCTTCGAGTCTTTTCTTCTGCTCTGCTGCCGGTCAGCCACAAAGGCTCGCTTGGTTCGTCCAAACATGTCACCCAGGTTTTGTTGGGACACGCGACGTGCAATAGCTTGGGCAGCAGGCTCGGCAGCAGAAGCTTCGGCTTTGGGCCGGGTAACAGGCTCGGTTCAGCATGGAAATATTGTCGCAATTTGTGAGTGGTTTCGAGTGGTGAATAGTGGTGGTGACCCTTCCCCCCCTTCCCCCTCCCTCCTCTTCCTTCCAAACTCCACTGACACACACTCGACTCGACCCTGGACTAAAAATGTTATGAAATATAACTCAGAGTATAGCACTATAGGGGAGCGGGACTACAAATTATGTCAATACAAATGAGTCCTATGGCTTATATAGTGCTAGTTGATCAGGTTGAACCTCGAGAGCTGGACAAGTCAAGGGCTGGATAGTCCCGAGGGTGACGGGGTCAAATTGGGATCGGCTCACCTCGGTAACACGTTCGGGGCCGAATAGGTCGGCGGAGGTGGTCTGACGCGAGGCTTTAGGGCCAAGGCTGCGGACGCACACTGTTCGCAGTACTCGCTGTGGTGAAACCCAGTAAGGATTCGTGAAATCCTTACAAAAAAGATAGCTTTCAAATAATTATAGTGCGAGTGAAACTCGACATAGCAAGGAGTGTACGATTCTACTGGTTTATGTTCAGGCAACCCAAGCCATGGTGTGGAATGCCCATGTGGCAACGACAGAACGCAAGAGCATAGGATAATCATGCAAGCCAACAAACGTAATACGAGACTCACGCGAGCCGCTCAGTTGCTCAGCCGCCCAGCCCCCAAGCCACCCGGTGCCCCGCTGATTGGCTTGCGCTAACCACGCCACCTACGGTATCAAGCGATCATGAAAGAGAGCCTGAAGACAGCTGCTGAATGCGAACATGGCTCCCACAACGAGGGTGCCTTCACTCCGCAACAGCGGCTGAGCACACGACCAGACGATGCGGGTTTTTCGGAACGGGCCGGTTTTCTGGAGTGCATGTCTCGAGTTCCGGTGGGCTCCTTCGCTCTATCCGTAGCTTGGGAAAGCACGATCATCATTCAACGGGACCCCATTCTCATAGAAGCAAGCCAGAGCGTGATTACAGTTCAACGAGTACCTTGTTGTCATAGCTTCGGAGTCGCAGAACGGCATCCGCACCATCACCGTCATAGCGAGGCCTATCAAGAGTCTCTACTATCAGTATGGTGCAAAACGCGACGGCAACAACCATCAGATCATGCTCTAGTGTCCTTCCGCTAATCCACGCCGGCCACGTGTCCTCCGTCTGGGACGACATTCTCCTCACCCCCCATCCCCCTCCCCCTTCTCTCGCGCGCCGCCGGCACGTTCCGCCGCTTGTCGCCTCTGCCTTCATCTTTGTCTCCCGCTCCGCCAAGGCCCGCTCCGCCGATTGCGGGAGCGGAAGGCGGGAGAATGGCGACCCCCTTCTCGCGTCGTTGTGTGAGAAGCGGAAGGTATTGGCACTGGATAGCAGCCTTAAAGTGCAGACTGACATGTCGCCATCAGAGTCGTCATCCGAGTCGCCATCAGAGTCGCGCCGGGGATATTGCCGCAGACGTGTGTGCTTGTGCTGCGATCCATGTCGATGCTTTCCTACGTAGATCATGCTAATGTCTATTCTGGTGTTTTAGACGCCGAGGATCTGATCAGGAAGCTCATAGAATCGTTGCTAACAGCGTGCGACAACACGCCGTTGAAAGCGGTGGAGATTGGATTGCAGGAGCGCAAGCCAGGCGATGTGTACGATGTTCTCCCACTGCTGGTGATGCCCCTGTGACTGCTGGGGGCGGGGCGAAACAGCATTTCGATTTCATGGAGGATTGTAACCATTGCGGCGGACGACGAGTTGGTGACGAGCAGGCAGCTTAAACTTTTGGTTGGCGATATGCTGGATCAAGTGCGAGAGTGGGCGAAAAACTCGGAATCCTTTGGCGAAATTGCTGGACCAAGTATGCCCTCCTCCAATTGTTACAGCTCAGCTAGGTGCCAACCTTTTCTTACCTTGTGTGTGTTTTCCTGCTTAATTTTCCAAATATAATGTGCAAAGTGAAGCGCTAAAACACTATTTAGACAAGGTTCAAACCGAAACTCCCCCTTCCTCTCCGCCCCCACCGCCCCGGCCCCCCACGCTCTCCCCCCGCTTCCCCTTCTCTTCAGGTCGCTTGTTCAACTTCACCTCCCTCTTCTCCTCGCCCTCGCTCGCCGAAGCAGAGGAAAGCCAGGCGAGGGGATGGTCGTCAGGAAGCCATCATTCCAAGAAGGGACGTGAGGAGAGAGGAGAGGAGCAATAGGAGGAGGAGTGGGATCAAGCGGCCAAGGAAGCAGCTATAGAGGCCGAGCAGACCATTCGGTACGCCCACAGCATGTGGAGGATCCTCTGCCCTACGCTTCGCAAGCCTGTGCTGAAGCGGCTGGGGCAAGCTCCAGGCAGGTGGTCTATCACCTGCCCGAGAATCAGCAGCTGCAAGTGGATTAGCAGAAGCAACAGGGGCGGCAGTAACAGGGGCAGCAGCAACAGGGGCGGCAGCAACAGGGGCGGCAGCAACAGGGGCTGCAGCAAGAGGGGCGGCAGGATAGGCGTTCCCGCAGCCCTGTGCCTTCGTGCTTTTCAGCCAGCTCACTGCCGCCTCCGTCTTGGCTTCTCACTTGTTCTCCTTCCCCCTCTTCTTCCCCACCTTTAAGCTCTCACCATATGTCGCCTTCAGCTCCTTCCTCTAAGACCTCAATCTCTAGCCGCCCCTCGTATCGAATCCGGCAAATCAGATCTGAAGCGGATTCTGCCACCGTCAGATCTGCACCGGACGACGCCCTCGCCATGTCCAGCAGCGCCTGGCGGCTCGTCGCCCCTCTGGAGAGCTGCGGCCTTCTGTGGATGATCTCCCCTAAGAGGCTAGGAGGAGGAGGAGGCGGAAGCGGAGGAAGAGGAGAGGGAGCAGTAGGAGGAGAGGGAGAGGGAGCAGGAGGAGGAGGAGGAAGTGGAGGAGGAAGTGGATTGGAAGTAGATGATGCAGGAAAAGAGGCAAGCAAGCACAGATACAGGCACAGCTACTCAGACTCTGCTTCGTTGATGAAGAGCAAAGATTGGCTTTTGAGCCCTGAGTCACCTGGTCGTCGGGTATTTTCCACTGCTAAGCCAATTGTTGCCGCAAGAGCCGTGTCAGGAGATGTTGCAGCAGCAGGCAGTATAACAACCACTGCTGCAAGAGTGATACGAGCTGGGGCAGCGATTCCAACAGAGGCCGTAGGGGTTGTAGCATGCAGGGTGAAGGACGTCGGTTCTCTTAAAAATGGTGCCGCTGGTAAAGATGCTGCTGGTAAGGATGTTTGGGGTGTTGAAGCTGTGAGTGCGAGAGTGCGGAGAGGAGCAGAGACATTAACTGCTGTCGTTGTGGGAAGCAGTGGGGGGAGCAGAAACGGCAGCAGCAACGCTACCAGCAGCGCAAAGTCAAACGCTAGCGCAAGCGTCAGCAGAAGTGTAAACGGCAGCAGAAGCGCTAGCGGAAGCCTCTTAGGTAGCCCTTGGAGACCGTCTTTTGACTTTACAAGCCCGGAGCGATCCCCTCCTCTTACCCTGGCCCTGCAACGCTCCCCTCCTCTCACTCCACGACCCCACTCCCCTCCTCTCACACCACCTCCCCGCTCCCCTCCTCTCACTTCCCCACCACACTCCCCTACTCTCACTCCCCCACCACACTCCCCTACTCTCATCCTACCACCCCATTCCCCTCCTCTCACTCCACCTCCTCACTCCCCTCCCCTCACTCCCTCTCGCTCACGCGCAATTCCCCCAACGCTCTCTTCTTGCCGTTCCACCGACGGGCCAGCTACCACGGGCTCATGACCCATTCGCAAGAGGGTGACTTGGAACCTTGAGTCCAATATCCCTGCGTATGCGTCTGCTGCTGCAAAACCAAGGGGAAGCAACGGGCCTATACCTTGGAGGACACCGTGGCATGCAGAAACGACAGTTGGAGGAGCCTTTTCTGCCGCTGCTGTGGGCAGGGCGGCTGGACAGACTTCAAGAAACGTTGCTGCTGCAGCTAGTCTGGGAGCAACAGCAACCGCTGCTGCTGCTCCTTCTCCTGCTCCTGCTCCTGCTCCTGCTGCTGCTGCTGCTGCTGCTGCTGCTGCTGCTGCTGCTGCGATTTCATTGTCTCCCCGTGTGGCACCAGTTGCTGCTGCTGCTACCAAAGCCCTGGAGTCTGTTGCTGCTCCTTCCAAGGCATCGAGCAGTCGTCCCTCCTCCAAGCTGCCAATGAAAGGCTTCAGCTTCGACCAGAGGCACAGGCAGAACGGCTCTCTTCCCGACCTTGCCCCATTTTCATCTACTGACCTTATGGGCAGGTTGGAAACTTGTTCTGTACGTGGCGAAGGCTGAGGAAGTTAAGGAGGAGGAAGGAAGCCTAGGCTTCCATTTGTCGTAGTCCCTCCCAAGCAATTCTGGCACAAGCGAGCCTCTAGCAGCAACTCGAGGTGCGGTTCTCCTATTCTCTCCCCTACGTAGGTCGCTGTATGTTTGGGTCAGAGATGGCAGAGGGGATGTGATGGGTGAAAGTATTTTCTTTGATAAATGGTGCAAACATTTTTTGGGAATCTGCGTGCAAACAAATCGCTTTGGTTCTTGATTTTTTTCGTGTCAGTCCTGCTTAGTGCCACATATTGGAATGAAGGCAATGCAGTCGGAACTTGTCCTCTGTTGGATGGATGCCCATAGATGTGTTTGTTTGGCTGACGCTCTATATCGCGAATATCAAGGGACCATGCATTTGCAACACGTGCTGGGCGCTAGCCCACGAATTCACCCTCTTTTTTCGCGCTCACCAGGACCAGCCTAGGCCCTAGACTAAAACTCCCAGGTCTAATCCCAGGAGGCGCACCCGCATCCACGTGTCGCTTCCTTCCCTAAAAGGCCGCGCAGGAACCATAGCCTCGTGTCGCCTCCCGAAAGCGGCCTGCCTCGCCAGCTGGCAAACAAACCGCCAACTACAGGGGCCTGGCGGTGGCTCACCAGCCTGCTGTTCAGCAGCCACGTGGCTTTTCAAGAGACCACGCCGGCTGCATGCGTGCCGTTGCTCGATTTGGAGCGTAGCGTGATAAGCACCGATTCCGGTGTTTTGTCTGCCTGGATTTAGATATTCCCGTCCGTTTCTCGTTCTAACTGCTCCGTTATAACCACCGTACAGGCCGTCCGTCTATTTGACTGTTTGTGACGAGCCATTTAACGAGCCATATTTTACGGACCACCCCCTTAGCTTCCCCTGTCGGTCCATCCGCCATGGCTACCTGCCTCACTAGTACGCAACTTAATCCGCAACAAAATGCGTCGGCCGTCTCCCGCCACTCGCGCCTCGGCTCGTTCCACCTCCGAAACTCCTCCATCGTGGTAACACTCCCCCCCTTCTATTGTCACATCCACCGTCCGATCACCTCCGGTCTCCGTCCGCCGCCGCTCTCGCACCAACCCCGCCGCCGGCCAATCGCCGTGTGCCAGGTGTCGCTCGTCGACGACGGGCCGTTCGTCGCAGCGATCGCCACGTCTATCGCGCTCTCCGCCGCGCCGCTCGTCCTGCCGTCGCTCCCGCTCCTCTCGGGAAGGGCGGGAAAGGAGGATGATGACGATGCAGCAGCGGCGGCGGCGGCGGCGTTATTGGCGGCGGGAGTGGGGGTGGGGGACGGGAAGGGGGGGGCGGAGGGGGAGGAAGCGGAGGGGGGAATGTCTCTGGGGGAGCTGCGCGCGGGGGTGATGACGGTGGTCAGCCTGATTCCGTTCTTCAACTGGCTGGTGCGTGCAGATTTTTTACTCCAAATTTCGTATCTCCAAAACATTCTCTCCAATATTCTTTTACCTCCAAATGGTTATCCCCAAATATTGTGGCCTAGAGCTGCCTCATCCCCTTTTCAGCTGGCTAGTGATTATAACGGGTAGTTTGGTGTGCATGGTCACGTGTGAATGCGTGGGATGAATGGGCCAAAGCTGGGGTCTCCGTGTGTGACCATAGAACGTGAGTGTGGAGTGTGACTACAGAGTGTCTGACACGGTTTCGCTGCTTCCTGTTTTCACTATTTGGAGGCTCGTTTGTGGCATCCTGCTTACTTATTCAACCTTTTCCGTTTGCCCGTGTGACTGTGCTGGGTGCGACTGTATCGCAGTGCTGGGTACTGGCATGGATCGACTCGCGTGATGTCAAGTACATTCTCTTTGCAGCCGTCTACGCTGCACCTTACGCCAGGTATGTAAGGCCATTGATGTCTATGCTGTACCTTATGCGAGGTATGTAAGGCCATTGATGTCTATGCTGTACCTTATGCGAGGTATGTAAGACCATTGATGTCTATGCTGTACCTTATGCGAGGTATGTAAGGTCATTGATGTCTATGTCGCACCTTATGCCAGGTATGTAATGCCATTGATGCCTATGCTGCGCCTTATGCCAGGTGTGTAAGGCCATTGATGTCTATGCTGCGCCTTATGCCAGGTGTGTAAGGCCACTTCTTTTTCTCCAGATGCGTTGGATTTTAGAATCCGAGATGAATTGGTTTTCAGGAGTTCTCAAAATCCGACTCCCGTGATGTTAATCACTTCCTCTTTGCATCAGTCGATCCTGCACCTTATGCCAGGTAAGGCCACTGCTGTCTCTTGACATGCACCACATTGGATCATTTTCTAAAATTCCTTCACTTGGCCAGACTGCCTATGCGCTCTCAGGCACACCCCAGGTGAAGGACATAATGCACCCTCTGTTCCACATCCACACATCCACATTTCCACACATCCACATATCCACAAATCCACAAATCCACATATCCACACATCCACATATCCACTCATCCACACATCCACACCTCCCATTTAAAAAATTCCCTATCTCTAAACTCAATTTCTTTCTCCATGCATCCATCCCTAATTCCAATGCCACAGGGGTGGTCTGACTCTGGCTATGGACGGCCATTGGTTGCCACTTTTCAGCATTGCAGCGTGTGCTCTGCATGTTCAGGTCAGTGTGCGAACCCTTCGCTTCTGAGTCAGCTCGAAAAACTGCTCGCCCTGCATGTTCAAGTCCGCATGCGAGGTCACTTTTGAGTCGACCCAAAATGGTTCTTGAGTAGACTATTGAGTCGACTCAAAAGTCATCTCGAACCCTTTGCTCCTGATTCGGTGTGGAAAACTGTTTGCCCTGCATGTTCAGGTCTGCTTGCGAAGCGCTTGCTTTGGCATAGACTCATGTCAGAGCTGCCTAAGCTGCCTCGATGTTTTTGCTGACTTCTAGTCCAGCATAAAATGTTTTCTCCTGCCGCTTTTATCGAGTCAATTCATAGTGTCTGATCTGGCTGAAGTGGTCCTTCCAGGTTGACAATGTGGCAGTGGAGCGAAAGAAACTGGCATCCAAGATCAAGTGTGCCAAGGTACTGTACTCAGGTGTGGCAACAGCTTAACCATAGGGCCTTCTCAAGTTGTGTACACCCTTCTCGACTCCCCTGTGCCCCTGCTTTCATACCCTCTCGACGAGTCAACTGCCGATCAACCGCCAAACGCAGCACACACACTCATATTCACGTCCCCCTGACCCGACGTTTTGCTGCAGAAAAAGGACAGCCTCCCTGGAAGCTCTAAAGACAAGGGCAGTTTCAAGCAGGGCAAGTGAGGAATGTGAAAGCTGGTTTGTGACAGACAATTTGTGCTGTTGTAACTGCTTGGGCCGCCGCTGCAGCTACTACCCTCAATTCATAATTGGACAGGGGGACAGCTGGCAGCGGCATGCAGAACAGCACAAGCGTTGAGCTGTCCCTTGGGGTCGTTTTGTGTTGTAAAAACGTGTTGCGTTGTAGAACATTGGTATTGTACCCGTCAGCTTTGCAGTGTGTAAATATGTTTATGATTGCTTACGTTTGACCATGTACAGTGCTTTGTTGTGTCGATGTGACAGTACCAGTGCAATTCATACAAATAAGGCACTCGAGCAAGCATTATGCCCACTATATGATACTGGTAGTTAACGCTGATGCATTACTGGGTGCCATACCATGCTCTGTGTGAGATGTGTCTAAAAAGGAAACACGAACATGCCAGCCTTGCTACCGTATGTGTGTACCGTACCTGACCTGGCCATTCCCCCCAAAACTCTCTCCTCCACCGCCATCCTGCTCCATTTCTTTTTGTCTACACCCTAGCCTACCCCACACTATCGATCTCCTTCCATGCCTTTTTCTGCACTGCCAGTCCCATTTCGTCTTCCCTCCCAATCTCCCTACTGCCTGCTCTGCTCTCGCTCCCCTCTCTACACCCTAGCCCACCCCACGCTATCAATCTCATTCCGAGCCTTTCTCAGCAGCTCCAGCCTCTTCCACGCAGCCTGCCGCCGCGCCATCACATCCGGGTCCTCGTCCAGCAGCTTCCCCAGGGCCTTGCCATCCTCCTTCCCCACCATCGCATAAAAGCGGTCCAGCAACCTTCTTTTGGCTTCACGGACCTGATAAAAGGGGAGGGGAGAGGGGTTGGGCGGGTAGAGGAGAGAGGAGAGGCGAGAACGCACACAGGCAACACATAAAGGTCCTCGTCCAGCAGCTTCGCCAGCACCTTCCTGTCCTCCTTCCCCACCAAAGCATAAAAGCAGTCCAGCAGCCTCCTCTTGGCTTCCCGGACCTAAGACAGGGAAGAAGGAGGCAGAAAAGGGGGAAATGTTAGTGAATGCCATTCGTGCCACCACGTCCTCCTTCCCATCCTCCTTCCCATCCTCCTTCCCATCCTCCTTCCCATCCTCCTTCCCATCCTCCTTCCCATCCTCCTTCCCATCCTCCTTCCCATCCTCTGGAGTGGGGAAAATACAGACAACAGCCCACCTGGCAGTGCACCACGGCTTTGGGGATGGCGTTCTGCAGGCACTCCATGACCATGCCCACGTAGGTTGACACGTTGGAGCCTGGAGTGGTGCAGTGAAGGAAGGGGAGGGGAGGGGAAGGGAGGGGAGGGGAGGGGAGGGGAGGGGAGGGGAGGGGAGGGGAGGGGAGGGGAGGGGAGGGAAGGAGAGAGAGAGAGAGGAGAAGGACTAACGGCCGTTCTGCAGGCATTTCGTGATCATGCCCACGTGGGTTGACACACCCTGCACAAGCATGATGATCATGCCCGCCCACGTAGGTTGACACACATTGGAACAATTGGGGTTGCTCTGGAGAAGTCTGAAAAGCAATCATGACCATGCCCATGTGGGTTGACACACTGGAACATTGGGGGGGTGCACTGAGTAGTGAGGGGGAGACGGGAAGGCAATGCGAGGGGCAGCAATGAGTGACTCTAATCATCTCAAAAGCCACCTCTACATGAACAATCAAGCTACTCACCAATCCTCCTGAAAGGCATCTCCTGGTATCGATCCGCCCCAGAGGGCAGCCTATCCCCACTCCCCTTTATCTCAATTCACACACCACTCCCACACCACTCCCCTTGAATGTCTACTTTTCCGCCCAATTGGCCTCCCAAGCTACTCACCAATCCGCCTGAAGTGCATCTCCTGGTATCGATCCGCCCCAGTGGGCAGCCTATCCCCGCTCCCCTTGAGCGCCTTAATCTTACTACTAGCCCCACTCCCACCCCCCTTCTTCCCATCCTTCCCCTCCTTCCCATCCATCGCCTCATCCAAATTCTCCAATCCGGGCAGCCGCCGAAAAAACTCCACGGTCAGGTAACTCGTCTCCATCTCCACCAATCGCACGGTCAGCTTCCGGCTGTTCTCGCGAAAACTTTCCAGCGACTGGGTGGCAGCGGCGGAGAGCTCTGCTTGCAGGGAGGGGAAGCGCAGCAGCTCGGTGGTCTCGCCCACGGAGATGCGGACGAGGTCGCGCAGAATGAAGTGCACCTCGTCCACAACTGCTTCGGCCGGGCCCTTGAACATGAGCAGTGCGCTCTCAATGAGGCGCCGGTACCCGCCCTCAGGGGCGATCAGATGCGGCTGGTACCCGTCTGCTTCTGCTACGATCCTCCTCACATCTGCAGGTGTTTTCAGGGAGGTTAGGGCGGTGAGGGGAGGACAGGAGGAGGGTGTTTTTTACCACAGAATGAAGTGCACCTCGTCCACCACTGCCTCGGCCAGCCCCTTGCACATGAGCAGTGCGCTCTCGATGAGGCGCTGGTACCCGCCCTCAGGGGCGATCAGATGGGGCTGGTAGTACCCGTCTGCTTCTGCTACAATCCTCCTCACATCTGCCGGTTGTGGAATTGGGTTGTGGGGTTCGGTTGAAGGGAAGAGGGGGGGGAGAAAGGGGGCGTTTAGTGGGGCTGTAACTGCCCTCAGGGGCGATCAGATGCTGCTAGTACCCGTCTGCTTTGCCGTGTGTGTGCACACGTGCGTGCCTGTGAATGCGTGCGTGCATACGTGCATGCGGTTGCGTGTGTGCGCATGCGGTTGCGTGTGTGCGTGCGTGTGTGCGCATGCAGTTGTGTGTGTGTGCGTGTGTGTGCGTGTGTGTGTGCGTGTGTGCCTGTGTGCGCGTGTGTGCGCGTGTGTGCGCGTGTGTGCGTGTGTGTGCATGTGTGTGCGTGTGTGTGTGCGTGTGCGTGGGGGGGCCGTGTGTTCGTGTGTGTGTGTGTGCGTGTGTGCGTGTGCACGTGTGTGCGTGCGTGTGCGTGGGGGGGGCGTGTGTGCGTGTGCGTGCGTGTGTGTGCGTGTGTGTGCGTGTGTGAGTGTGTGTACGTGTGTGACTCCGACTAGGGAGACACATACTCAGAATGGAGAGGTGCTTGTCGAACGGCAGCTTGTAGAGAGCAGCTGGGAGCTTCGTCTCAAACACAGCATGCATGTGAGCACACGTGGCATATGAATGGCAGGCACTTATGAATAATCAGCTGCTTACTCTGGATGGAGAGGTGCTTGTCAAACGGCAGCTTGTAGAGAGCAGCTGGGAGCTTCGTCTCAAACACAGCATGCATGTGAGCACACGTGGCATATGAATGGCAGGCACTTATGAATAATCAGCTGCTTACTCTGGATGGAGAGGTGCTTGTCAAACGGCAGCTTGTTGAGAGCAGCTGGGAGCTTCGTCTCAAACACGGCGTTGATTCGATCTCCACCCGGCCGGCTGTAGGTGGGGAGCAGAGGTGGGGCGAGAAAAGAGCTGCCGTTTGGAAAATGAGCAAGAGAAGGAAAATGAGTGAGAGCAGTCGTTTGGATTGAAGGCAACAACGTTCAACCCCTCATCCTAGGCAACCTCTCATCCTCTCATCCTCTCATCCTCTCACCGTTCAAATTTTTAACCCACCCATACCTCTTATCCTCCACATTACAACCGCCCACAAACCCATAGCCCAAACTAATCAACCTCCTGTATAATCACACTCCATGCATCCACCCTGCACGCCCTTACCCTCCATCCAGGTGCCCCAGATTGTGATCCACGCCCAGCTGGTGCATGCTGCACTCCATACAGCCCACACCCCACCTCCCCACACTCACCCGCCATCTAGGTGCTCCTTAAAAATCTTGTCGAATGCTCGGCACATTTCCAGCACGGTGTATAGCTGGGCCTGATGGGGGGAAAGGCGGTTAGGAAAGGGAGGGGGGGAGCAGGGGAGGGAAGAACAAGGGAGTTGACGACTCAGAAGTTGACACAGAGAATCTTGTCAAGCGCTCAGCACGTCTCCAGAACAGTGTACAGCTGAGCCTGAGGGGGGGAAAGGCGGTTGGGAAGGGTGGACGGGTGGAAGGAGGAGGGGGGAAGGGGAGGATAAGAGAGTTGTTGACCCATAGGTCACCTCCAATCCAATACCCATGTATGGCCAATCCTGAGAAGCAGCCGCACACAGAACTGAAACCGCGAAGTCAGAATCACGCAGAACCTAAGGGGTGAGAGAGCTTGTGCAGACAATTTTTGGGAATTCTCAAGAGTCACCGCGGAACCAAAGGGGTGCGAGAGCTTGTGCAGAAGTGAACAGCATTTCGAAACTCACCCCAGCTTCACCACCAATGGGCCGGCCCAGCGCGTTCATCTCCTTCTCCAGCTCGTCAATGTTGTTGTTGATTAGGGACTGGATGCCGGGGATCTTGGAGCGAATGACTTGCTCCAGGTGCTGCAAAAGAGACACGGGGGAGAGAGCAAGATATACGATACAAGAGAGCAATGGTGGTGCACTGATATTTTAGACCACTCATACCTTAGACTAGACAACATCTTGGCCAAGCATTCAGTGCATGTGGTTAGCCAAATGGGAATAAGCGGTGGGCGTCTGGATGGAAGTATCCCCTCTCTTTGTGAGGCGCCTCAAAACTGGACGCCTGGGAGTGACTTTTGAGTCGACTCAAAAGGGCGCCTCAAAACTGGACGTTTGGATTGGTAGTACCCCCTCTCCTAAGGAGAATCTCCATGAGTCATTCAACCCATACTTGGGCAGCCTTGCACCAGGATGCTAGCTAGCATGCCCATGTCAATAATGTGAATGCATTTGATGGGCCGATACCTTAGACAGCATCTTGGCCAGGTATTCAGTGCCCATGCGATTTGCCAAGTGGGAATAGTCCGCAGAGGTCTGGAAGTACTCTCTCTCCTTGCGCCGCGACGCCAGCATGTCCACATTGCGGTTGATATCAGCTTGAGACCGGTTCACCACCCCCACCCACGGGTACTTGAGCTTGTACGAGCGGCCCTCCAGCACCTGATGGGTGAGTATGTGGGATGGAGGAAGGGGAGGAAAATGGGACGGAGGGAGCAAAAGAGCTGGCTCAAGGCTGGTTCGTCATCCCCACACACGGATGCTTGAGCTTGTACAACCAAACCTCTAGCAGATGTTGGTGTTTTGTCCCAGGACAAAAAGAGTAAAAAATGGATCAAGAGAGGCAGGAAAAAGGAAACCGTTGGAAAATGGAGTTGAGAATGTGGCAGACACAAAGAGCAAGGGAGGGGGGGGGGGAATGAATCAAGATAGCCGAGCAGAAGGACGTGCCTTGAGAGCATAAAGGGCGGGGCCATGCAGTAATGGAAAGGTGAAGGGGAGAGAGGACGTACATCAAGAGCGTTGGTGCCCTTATCCATGAGGTCGAGCTTTGTGAGCACGCCCCATGTCCTCTCGCCTGCACTCAACAACGAGCCGAACGTAAGATAGGCAGCAGCAGCACAGAGCATCATGAGAGAGTCAATGTGAGAGCACGCCCCATATGCATGAGGTGAGGTCGAGCTCTGTGAGCACGCCCCATGTCCCTTCGCCTGGGTGCATCCACAAACCAGCCGGCATAAAAGAGGCAACTACAGGAATCATCAGTCAGCCAAGGAAATAGGAAAACGGTCAGCTAAGATTAAAAAAAAAAAAAAAAAAAAAAAACAGCAGCAGCAGCAACCGCAGCAGCAGAAACTATAGTTACCCTCAGGGCTACTTACCCTCTGGATCGACCTCTCTGGCCATTCGCATGGCATCAGACGTGGCAATGTCTTGATTGGCGGGCGACACTGCAAGGATGATGCAGTTGGGCTGCAACGGGAGGAGAAGGGGGAGGGAAGGGGGCGTGGGGGGGGACAGAAGACATTGTGATGCTCCATACAACGCACAATGCTAATGCCTAAAGTAGAGGGCAACACTGCCAGAATGATGCCATTGGATATCCCATCCATCCCCCATCCTCCTCTCGCAATAACTCCTCCCCCCCACCCGGACCTTCCCTCGTTCCTCCATCCCATGCGGACATCACTCACGGTGCCCTTCTCCTGCTTCACCACATCCCCCATCCCTGCTCCCTCCCATATCCCTTGCTCACAATCCCATACCCCTCATCATGCCCCCCCCCGACACCCACCCACCCCACACTCACCTTCTCAACGTACTGCCGAACCATGTCCTCGATATCTCTCACAATGGTGTCCGATTGGCCCTCTGCAGGCAGACATCCCAACATCACAGACGCAGAGGTCAAGCACATAATGAGCACTCGTTCTTCCATGCCATAAACCACAATCGCTGTGTGGTTTATGAGACATAATGAGCACATAATGAGCACATAATGAGCACATTATGAGCACATTATGAGCACATAACGAGCACTTGTTCTTGCATGCCATGAATCACACAGCGATGGATGTGTTTGCCTCAATCCATCAGATCAGGCCATGCGACTCGAGGCAACTCACCGACAGCAATCTTTGTGAGGCCAGGCAGATCCACCAGGGTCAGATTCACCACTGCAGAACACAGCAACGGCCAGGAGCTCGGTCAGACAAAAAAAGGGAGGCTCGATGAAGAATCACGGGCTTGCCTACTGCTACCACTGGAGAGGAGTTCAAGATGAGACAGATGCTATATGGTGGGCGATAAGTAAGAGGTAGCACACTGTTATTATAATGATAGCTGTTGATGCGCATGCTTACCAGTGGGGGAGTAATTGCTGATGTGGATCCCTACCATTGGGGGAGTAGATGCTGAGGTGGATGGGAACAGGCGAGATCATCTTGGTCTTGCCGGTGATTCGATCGGTTTCATCCGCAACCTCCTTCCTCACAGCAGCTGGGAAGATGGGAAGGGAGAAACAGGATGAATGCGACAGGAAAAAATCGGATGAGAGACGGGCTACAGACGAGCCAAAGATGTTGAAACTCGGGTTTGAAAGAGCTAAAGAGAAACAGACATGTTTCATGCTTGGAGTTTTAGCCACATGTTTGAGAGGAACAGAAACTACATGGTCGCGCAGATGCCAGTGTGTGTATCTCTTGACCCGCATGGGCTCGCTTACCCCAGTCCGTGTACGTCTTGCGCGGCTGGTGCAAGAACTCTGCATACTCGGCTTTCAAGTCGACTCAAGAGCGGTTTGCATGGCCTCACTAACCCTCGCTTACCCCAGTCGGTGTACTTCTTGCCCGGCTGGTGCAGGAACTCTGCATACTCCGATGAGCTGTCCACCTTGTGAAGCTGCAGGACCAGTGGCCGCCGGGTGACAATGCCTGAAAGCACCAGCGTCCACCACACAGCACAGCACCACACAGCACCACAGAGCATGACACACCACCCCAGAACACCGTGCATATTACACCACACACGGCCATCACAAACCACCACACACACACACCGCCACCACCCGTCACCATGTGCGACACAATCACGATCAAGATCAGGCTAAACAGGTTCGTTGCAAGGGCAAGTGAGGCACCACGAAGGGAGCGACAGAAGAGAGAGAAGGACCGTTCGTGAAGGAAACAACGAGCAAGGGTTCGAGTCTGGTTTCCTAGAAAACAATTGTTGTGACGATATATCATATACCTGATCCTCGAGGAAGAAAGTCTTTCCCCACAATGCTCTCTAGCACAGATGATTTACCCGAGCTCTGCATCAGGATGGAGCAAAACGGGGATGCTTATATGAGGGGCGAAGGGCAAGGAGCGTGTACGTTGAAATATGTCGAGAATACCCCATGTGCATCAGCGGCTGGTCACATCGGTCATTGCGACACAGACAATCATCCGCAGTATAAGATTCAACGAATTGACAGAAAATCGTATAACGGTTGCGCAAGTTGAAACGTCAACAGGGAGATGTCGACCCGTATAATACGAGTCAATCTGCCTAGAATTATTCAAGTTTTCATGGCTGCGAGGAAGGGGTACCATGATGGTCGGAGCTAGCAAATAATAACGGGTCGCATCTGGTTAGGCTCGACACAGCACTAGCCGACTCCGAACCCTATTTCTAATCCATCTGACGCGAAATTCATTTGTCTCACAACACACGAATCTATCGGCTTCACTTAGTCATGAGGTGACTTCTGAGTCGACTCAAAAGTCACCTCGAATCTATCCGTCTCACAACACACGAATCCATCAGTTCCATTTTGTCGCAGTAATATCGGTCTCACTTGACGTGAACTTATTGCCGCGAATCTACCGTCTCACCTGGCCTCCCACCACAGCCACCGACGGAAGCTGCTCCCAGAGCGTCGGCAACGCGTCTTCAGCACTCGACACGCCATAGTCTCCTAACACCGTACATGCCTGCTGAAGCCGATTCACGAGACCTATCAGATTATCCATGTGTACTTATTTCCCGCAGCCTCGTATTCAAATAGGCTTAGAGATGGAGCTGGTATGTCCGAGCTGTGGCTTCTGAATCTTGTCGAGGCTGGCTAGGTATCGACTTGTAGATAAGACACGGACAAAGTCGATCGATTTCCTCGGCACCAGAAGCTAAGAAAGGAAAACGATCGAGTATGGCGTGCAATCCGCTCGCAGCCGAAATATTCCGGACCGACAGTGCCAGGAGATGTGTGCGGCTGCCGCTGAGTGAGCGGTGATTGCCGTGTGTGATCTGTGCACTGCTGCGAGTTTCGCACCTCGGGATTTGGTTCAGTTATCGCCCAACACGCCTCTGTGAAACAGGACCTTGAAGTTGGATTGGAACTTCCGCAATTCAGCCGCACGGCCACGGGGTCCCTGCACCGCGTGCGCGCCAGAACGGAACTCCCGCAGTTCAGCCACTCCTGCGCGGCCTGGCACCGCGCTTTCCTCTGCCAAATCGAAAAGCATCAGGTGTGCTGGGGGGGAGCTCTGCTCTCTGGTTCCCTTCCGCCGGTCAGCGCGGATTGGTTGCTGGTAACGGCAGTTTCGGGGAGGTTGCGCCTTTGGCAGATTTCACCCGCAATACACCTGAGCCAATAATGCTGTATCGCGTATGAGCCCATTTCGAGGGCCGAAATGGGCTTTATGTTTTTGAAACCTTGTAAAAATGTCAATTTTTGTCCAATTTCAACCACAGAAAGTGTGTTGCTTCTATCGAGAAGTCAAGCCCCTCCGCCACTATGCTCCTCCCCCGCCAGCCCCTAGGGGGTATCCTCACCTCACCTCCTCCCTTTCGGTTCTTCCTCTGCTCTCTGCTCAGTACGGGAGCAGCCAACAATGCAGATCAACAGCATCCCAGATTCCATTGCTCGTGCTCATATCAAGCCATTTGGCAGGGCCAGGAACTAGTTTCTCTACGGCCTGGTTCTGCCAATCGCAGGCTCCTCCGGCATCGCCTGATCCTAAACGGGCACGCCACTGATCGAACGACCGCCCATTCGCAGACCTCGTTCGAACCTAAACTGCTATCTCTCATTGACATCTGAGTTCTCCATGCCTCCGATCCACGCGACGGCTCTCGGGTGAATCCGGTCGCTCTACTCGTAGTAACTTCTGTGAATTTAGTTAAAAATTGGAGTTCACCGTCACTAGCAGCCATGGACGATCTGATCTCGTTAGGAGAGACGCTTCAGCAGGCGTCGTCGGCCCTCGTCGGCGACGACCTTCCGGACCCCGACGATTCGCGCTCCAGCAGCGGCTCGTCGCCCGTCATCCAGCTCGTCGTGCTCGGCGCTCCGGTCGGTTCCATCCCAATCGTTCCTTACCGTTTCTTCACACGATTCCAATTCATAGGAGATTGGTTCGTTAGGAGCGTCGTTCGTATTACCAAATGATACCAGCCTAGCTCGTACCATTTCGCCCGTCATTCAGCTCGTCGTGCTCGCCCCTGGTCAGTTCCGTGCCTTCCGTGCCTGCCTTTGTACGATTCCCGATTTATAGGAGATTCGTTCGTATCATTCCTTTCCTTGGAACTTCGTTAGTATTACCAGGTACAAGGAGCTTAGCTCGTACAATTTCGCCCGTCATCCAGCTCGTCGTGCTCGGTACTCTGGTCAGCTGCGTGCCTTCCGTGAGCATCTACCAGTTTATGGAGGATTCGTCCATACCATAGAAGCCTCATGCAGCGTTTAGGATTCGTCCATAATACAACTACCACTTTATAGGGGTTTCGTCCGTACCATTCCAAGGAGCTTCGTTCGTATCATTGCTAGCCCATTTGTCACCGAAACGGCACTCATGTTGTTAAGCGTCGTCCTGCTTTATTTGCGTGTGATTTCTGCGCTGCTGTTTTATCTCCGTTGCTCCTCTTACTCCTAACGCTTGAGGTTAGCGGCGTCGATTCCGTGACCACGCCTCACGAGTTCGATCGGTTAATCTTGCATTTCTTCCTTGTCAATTGCATCCCCTCAGGGCGCCGGAAAGTCAGCTGTTCTTAACACACTCATTGGCCATGCGGTCCTGGTAAGTCGCTACAAACCTTATTCTCGCTCTCGATCTTAACTTCAGTTCAAGCGTTCAAAAAATGTTCTGTCGCATGGTCTCATCTCAACACCAGCACTGCCTTCGTGCTGCCACTGTTGAGGAAGCTTATTTCAACAGCCATTTTGTTCTCCTTGTTGTATGTCCCATCCCATCACAGCCAACAGCGGAAGGGGGAGCCACACGCTTCCCTGTTCTGGTCGACCTACAAAGGGACCCCAACTTGGGGGTAGGGAGCGTTCGCGCGAGTCTCGGGCCACGAGCTAACATGCGAAAACCCTGTGAGTAGGAGCTTTGTCTTTTTCCTGTTCCCTCCCCAATCTACCCTTCTTAAGCCAACCTTCGTCAACATGCTGGAACCCTGTGAGGTGGAGTTTTGCTGCTTCGATGCATCTCAGATCAGAACCCTCCCACTCCCGCCTATGTCTCTTCCAATTCAATCGCCCTTGTCTCATGTGTGCATCTCTCTGTGCATCTCTCTGTGCATCTCTCTGTGCATCTCTCTGTGCATCTCTCTGTGCATCTCTCTGTGCATCTCTCTGTGTGTCACCACCAGCGGAAGTGCGGAAGGGTGGCGGACATGGCACAGGCCAAGTCCAGGGCAAACAGCCTGCAAGCATTCTCCGCTTACTGTTTGGCTCCTGATCCACTCTTCCTTGTCCCCTCTGTGCATCTGTGTCACCCCCAGCGGAAGTGCGGCAGGCCCTGGTGGCGGACATGGCACAGGCCAAGTCCAAGTCAAGGAGTCGCCAGGAGGCCCACCTCGTCCTCCGCTCACCCATTGGTCAGTGACTTGTCCATGGACTTCAGTCTAGCCTTCGTCCGTCTGTCTTATCTAGCCTTCTCTTCCATCTGTTTGGCCTGTGGACGCTTTTCCTTTTCCTCCTTGTTGTTTTTTCCCTCGCTAACTTTCTCCCCTTCGGCTTTTCACCCGTGGCTCCTTGGCTTCTTTCCTCTCCCCCCGCCCTGCCCCTGCAGCGCCGCCAATGCGCATGGCGGATCTTCCAGGAGTCGAACGGTCGTCAGACCTCGATGGCACAGTGAGTGGCTTGGATTTTGTTTGGGTGCCATGGATTGGATCGGCAGCCTCGTGTAATTCTTGGATCTGTGGCAGTCTCGTCTATCTTCTCGGTCTGTGCCAGCCTCTATCTTCGCTATCTCTCCGTCCTTGTCTCTCGTCGGCACACATTGCTGCTTGCAGTGGAGGGACTGGGAGCTGCTGTTCCTCCCTATTCCTTTGAATGATGTCACATCACGTGTGATGGCGTCATGAGCTGTGCCAACACGGAATGGGGCTTCTGCAGTGGTCCTTTGGGCTGCTGCAGTCGTCCCTTGGGTGGGCTGAATTCATTGGCAGCACGCACTGATGATCGTTACGATCAGCCAATGCGTCTGTGGCTGCTGATGCCAGACTCCCATCCACACTGCTTTCAGGGGCTTCAACAGACAGTGCATTCCCTGCCTTGCGACTTCTCATAGCCTGTTGCACATCATGCTTCCCCTTCCGTTTGTTTTTCTCATGCTGCATCCAGCTGCAAGACAACGTGGCGAATCAGGATGCCATAATCCTAGTTGTGGTTTCTGCCACACGCGTCAAGGATTCTCTCAAGCTGCTGCGAGTGGCGCATGACATTGACCGGGATGGTGAGCGAGATTACCATAGTGTGCTACCAACCCTGTTGACACGAGCGTCAAGGATTCTCTCAAACTGCTGCGAGTGGCGCATGACATTGACCGGGACGGTGAGCGCGACTACCCTAGTGTGCTACCAACCCTGCTGACACGAGCGTCAAGGATTCTCTCAAACTGCTGCGAGTGGCGCATGACTTTGACTGGGATGGTGAGCACGATTGCCATAGTGTGTTACCAACTGTGTTGACACGAGCGTCAAGGATTCTCTCAAACTGCTGCGAGTGGAGCATGACATTGACCGGGATGGTGAGCGCGATTACCATAGTGTGCTACCAACCCTGCTGACACGAGCGTCAAGGATTCTCTCAAACTGCTGCGAGTGGAGCATGACATTGACCGGGATGGTGAGCGCGATTACCATAGTGTGCTACCAACCCTGCTGACACCAGCGTCAAGGATTCTCTCAAACTGCTGCGAGTGGCACCTGACATCGACTGCGATGGTAAGCTTGCTTTGGCATGGTACCAGTCTTTCCTCCACGGCACAGCTTTTGAGTCAACTCTCGTGTCTCCCTCTCCCCCCTGCTTTCCTCTGCCCCCCATCTCCCTCCCCGCCCCCGTCCCCCTCCCCCCCCCCCTGAAGCACGCGCAGCATTGGCGTAATCACACAGGTTGAGTAGGTCGTGACGGACAACGGATCCTTCTCCCACTCCTCTCTCCTCCCACTCGTCTATTCCCTTTCCCCCCGCATCTCTCTTCCCCCGTCACCACGCTCCTCACCCCCCCAGGTGGGCGCAGCATCGGTGTGATAACGCAGTTAGCGCGGGTCGTCACAGACAAGCCAGCAGCAAAGCGCGCCCTGGAGCTGCTGCAGGGGCAGGGGGCGGCCATGGCGCAGGACTGCCCGTGGGTAGCCGTGATGGGGCAGCCGCTGGGGGATAAGGACACGGACGCGCCCCTCGCTGCTTGCTCACTCCCCTCCCTTGCCTCACTCTGCCCCCGGCTTTCCCCTGCCCCCTTTCCACTCTCTGCTCCATCCCATGCCCTCCCCCCCCCCCACCCCCACCTCCACCCCCCCAGGTGCGCGGAGCATTGGGGTGATAACGCAGTTTGAGCGGGTGGTTACGGATAAGCCAGCAGCAAAGCGCGCCCTGGAGCTGCTGCAGAGGCAGGGGGCGGCCATGGCGCAGGACTGCTCGTGGGTGACCATGATGGGGCAGCCGCTGGGGGACAAGGACACGGACGCGCCCCTCGCAGCTTGCTCACTCCCCTCCCTTGTCTCACTCTGCCCCCTGCTTTCCACTGCCTCCATCCCACTCCCTGCTCCATCCTACTCCCTGCTTCATCCCACTCCCTACTCCATCCCATGCCCCCCCCCCCCCCCCCCCCCAACCTCCGCCCCCCCAGGCGCGCGGAGCATTGGCGTAATTACACAGTTTGAGCGGGTGGTGGCCGATAAGCCAGCAGCGAAGCTGGCGCTGGAGCTGCTGCAGGGGCAGGGGGCAGCGATGGCGCAGGATTACCCATGGGTGGCGGTGATGGGGCAGCCGCTGGGGGACAAGGACACGGACGCGCCCATGGACGAGGCGTGGGCAGGCGAGCAGAAGGCGCTGTTAAGTGTGATGCGCGCGCTGGGGGTGAAGGGCATGGAGGGCGCGATGGGGCGCGACGCGCTGCTGCGCATGATTGCACGCACGATGCGGAGAAAGATGAAGGAGAAGATCCCCAGGATCATGGCGGGGTGAGTTGGGTGGGGCGCTGGGGAGGGTTATTGTTGGAGAGTGAGGTTGGGTGAAAGGGCGAGGATGATTGCACGCACGATGCGGAGAAAGATGAAGGAGAATCATGGCAGGGTGAGTTTGATGGGATACCGGGGAGGGGTATGGGAGATTGAGGTCAGATGAAGGGCGTTAGGGGTGAAGGAGATGGAAGGGGAGTTAGGTGAACTAGGGGGCGGGGGGGGGGAGGGGGAGGAGGGGAACAAGGTTTTCCCGATGGGTAAAGGAGAAGATCCCGAGAATCATGCCACGGTGAGCTGGTTGGGTGGAGAACCGGGAAGGGTTATGGGAGGGCTGTTGACCGGTCGGTCAGAGCTGTGGACGTGGAATTAGTGCTGCTGCTTCGGCTGGGCGAGTCCCTTCTCTCCAACCTGCACTGCTCGTTCGTTAGAAGACTCATAGCGTACTTCAATTCCTTCTCGCTCCTTGGTCTCCCCCGGTTTCTATGCCTTACCTACCTGGCTTCTCAGTCTCGAGTCCCGCTCTGTGGACGTGGAGCCGAAGCTATTGAGGCAGGGCGAGCGAGTCCCTCATTCCCAACCTGCAGGGCTCCAATGTCCAGAGCTTCTCTTGTATCCAACTCACGGTCTGTCTTGCTTGTTCTTCCGCCTCCTGTGCCCCTTGTCGTCCCCAGTCTCGAGTCTCGCTCGGTGGACGTGGAGTCGGAGCTCTTGAGGCTCGGCGAGTCGCTCGTCTCCAACCTGCAGGGCTCTCGAGCCGTGGCTCTGGAGCTGTGCCGTGGCTTTGAGACGCGCTTCATTGAGAACTTGGACGGCAGTGAGGTTAGTGGTTGGTTGGATGGCAGTGCGGTTAGTGGTTGGTTGGGCGGCGGCAGTGAGGTTAGTGGTTGGTTGGGCGGCAGTAGAATACGTTGTGGTTTTTGTTTCTGGTGTGTGGCACTCGCTCGGGTTGTGCATCTTCGTTGTCTGTCCAATGGAATGGAAGTGTGCTCATGGTGGAAGAGCCTCCTGTCCTCCTGCTGTCCCTCCACCTGCCGTGCCAGTTTTTTGTTTTTTAATACCTTCCTTTTTATCTTGAGCTTCTAAAACGTCACAATTGCTGTGTCCGTCTGTGCACATCCCAGGGCGGGGGCTCGCAGATGGTTGAGAAGTTTGTCGGCACGCTACCCCTGCGCTTCCGAGGCCTGCCACTGGATGAGATGTTTAACTTTGATAACGTGAAAAAGGTCAGTTATTGACAATGTGAAATAGCTCGTGAAGTCGGTTATTGATAACGTGGATAATGTCAGTTATTGACAACGTGGAAAATGTCAGTTATTGACTACGTGGAAAATGTCAGTTATTGACTACGTGGAAAATGTCAGTTATTGATAATGTGGCAAATGCCAGTTATTGACAGCATGGAAAAAGGCTAGATCTTGACAACGTGGAAAAGGGGTGAAAGATGGCCTGCCATTGGACGAGAAGTTCAGCTGGTAGCGTTTATCTCCTCTCCTCCCCCCCACCTCGCCCCCTCCCCTCAGCCCCTACCACTCTTCCCCCCCCCCCCCCCCCGTTGCCACCCTAATTACCCATATTATCCTTCCCCCTTCCCATCCCTTTCTTCTGTTCCTTTCATCTCATCCGTTACTTCCTTATCTCGCCACCCACCCATCCACCCACCCATCCCTGCTCATATCCCTGCGCCATTGCGTTCCTATATCCGCCTACCGGCCAGGTGGTGACGGAGGTAGACGGGTATCAGCCGTATGTGACCTTTCCAAAGAAAGGCATTCGCCTGCTCATCAGACAAAGGGCCTCTGATCTGAAGGGCCCTGAAGAGCCTCGGAGGGTCCTCTGAAGGGCCTCTGAGGGGCCTCTGAAGGGCCTATATCTGCCCATCAAACGCTTGAAAGAGGCACCGGAACACACCCTTGCATCACTCTATTTCTCCATCCACCCTCTCACTGACCCTTCAGGTGGTGGCTGACAGCATCCGTGATCTTCCCAGCTAAGGGCCTTCGCTTGCTCATCAAGCACACCATAGAGGCGCCTGGAAACATCCCTGCACTGGACCGCCCTTTTTTCTCCATCCACCCTCCCATCTACTCACCAGGTGGTGGCAGAGGCAGACGGGTATCAGCCGTACGTGATCTCTCCCGAGAAGGGCCTTCGCCTGCTCATCAAGCGAAGCCTCAACCTGGCCAAGCAGCCGGGGCTAGACTGTGTGGATGAGGTGAGGGGGGAGGGGAGAGCACGAGATGAGGGAGGTGGCAATATATTTAGTGAAGTTTCAACCCGGCCAGGCAGCCAGGGCTGGCTGGAATTTTTGCAGGGTGCTTTTGAGAATTATCAAAATCACCCTCCAAAAGTGGGGGAGGGGGGAGAGCACGAGTTGTGGAAGATGGTAATATATTAGTGAAGTTTCAACCCAGGCAGGCAGCCAGGGGCTGGACTGTGCGAATGAGGTGAGATTGAGTGGATGAGGAGTGGGCAATGAGGTGAGAGAGTTACGCAATGAGGTGAGAGAGGTAGGCGATGAGATGAGCCCATTGCCTTATCCTCTTGCCTTACCCTTCAATTCCCCTGCACCCTCTCAGGTGCACAAGATTCTGCTGGACATTGTTGTGGCAGCAGCGTCCACAGCTCCCTCCTTGGTCCGCTTCCCTCCGATGAAGAAAGAGGTGCGCGCTCATGCCATGCCATGCCATGCCATGCCACGCCATGCCATGCCATGCCACGCCATGCCATGCCATGCCATGCCATGCCAGGCCACGCCATGCCATGCCATGCCATGTTATGTCATGTCATGCCATCTCATGCCTTATCACGTCTTCAGAGTTGACTTTTGAGTTGACTTTCGAGTTGACTTAAAAGTCGATTCAGCAGCGTCCATAGCTCCCTCCTTGGTCCGCCCGCTCCGTCCGCTTCCCCCCATGAAGAAAGAGGTGCGCGCTCACGCTATGTCAACTCATACTTTTCTGCATGGCCGCGTGCATTCATCAAACTGGTTCCCACCCATGAGAAAGGTCGTACTTGCATGCTCGCATCTTCCGTGGATTCAGCATGCATTCATCTGTGCTGCCACGCTGTGTTAGGTTTTTTAGACTTCTCAAAAATCACAACAATTGCTTCATTCTCCGCTATTCTCTCCTCTTGCTGTTCCCATTTGCCCTCGCACCCTTTACAGCCCCGTTCCTCCTTCCCCTTGTTCGCCCTGTTCAAACACCACACCACCCTCCCCTCCCCCCCCCCCCCCCCCTGATAGAAGATTTGTCATGAGGTGTCTCAAGACAAATCTTCTATCATACGGCCCTGTTCCTCCTTCCCCTTGTTCGCCCTGTTGATACACCACACCACCCTCGCCCCTTCTCCCCCCCTGTTCCGTTCTCTGCAAGCCAGTAGCGTTTGCATCAGCGGCGTTAGATGGGCACATGGCAGAGGCGAAGACGATGGTGATTGTTTTGAAGCCCCCCCCCCCCCCCACCCACCATGCCCCACTCTCTAACAGCTGGTGGCCATTGCATCAGCAGCACTGGACGTGTACAGGGCAGAGGCCAAGGTGATGGTGACGGCGCCGGTGGACATGGAGAGGGTCTTCATCCCCTCTTTTCCCCTCTTAACCGCTCTCAGTTCCTCCATCCATCACCTTCCCTGCTTGCTGTGTGCCCACTTTGTGCAGCTGGTGGCCATTGCGTCAGCAGCCTTAGACGAGTATCGTGCAGGGGTGAAGGTGATGGTGACGGCTGTGGTGGGCGGGCATGGAGAGGGTCTTCATCCCCTCTTCACCTCCCCCTGTTCCTCCTTCCCTTCCTCTCCCACACTCAACAGCTGGTTGCCATTGCATCAGCAGCGCTCGATGAATATCGTGCAGAGGCGAAGGTGATGGTGACGGCGCTGGTGGACATGGAGAGGGTGTTCATCCCCGCCACGCACTTCATCGAGGCGGAGTACAAGCGCCAGGAGACGCTCTTCAAGGGGATGAGCAATGCTCGCAAGTCAGTCACCCGAGCGGTGAGTACACTGCTAGCAGCACTGGTGAGGTAGCGGGCAAGGGTAGGAGTGTTCATCCCTGCTACTCATTTCATCGAAGCGGAGTACAAGTGCCAGGAGATGCTCTTCAAGCAAATGAAAACCGCACGCAAGTCAGCCACCCGAGCGTGAGCCCCCATGTGAACATAATTCTTGTTTAATGAGCTGAAAGGCACCATGTGAAGGTGGTGCTGGCGGCACTGGTGAGGTAGCTGTAGGAGAAGGTGGGAGTCCATGCCACGGAAAAAGGACGCTCCTCCTCCTCCTCCCCTTGCTTCGTTTACCCCTCCATGCCCACACCATTACCTCCTCTCTCGCCCCCCCCCTCTTTCACCGGGCGAGGGCTGGTTTGGCTCGTTCATATCATCTATGGGACGGAAAAAGGACGCCCCCGCTCCTCCCCTGTCCCTTCTTTTACCCTCCTTCTCTTGCACTCTTTCCTCCTCTCTTTCTCCCGTGTCTCTCCCCTCTCTCTTCTCCCCACAGGGCGAGGGCCGGTTCGGCTCGTTCATGTCATCGATGGGACGGAAAAAGGACGCCCCCGCTCCTCCCCCGCCCTCTGCTTCATTCTCTGCTGCGGCCAGCCAGCCTCAAGAGCCGCCAAGGGAACTCGCAGGTGAGTCAACGGGGTGAACTACAGATTTGAGTCAAGGTAAGGCGGACGCTCCTCCTCCTCCCCCACCCTCTGCTTCTGCTGCGGCCAGCCAGCCTCAAGAGCCGCCAAGGGAACTCGCAGGTGGGTCAACAGGGTGAACTACAGATTTGAGTCAAGGTAAGGCGGACGCTCCTCCTCCTCCCCCGCCCTCTGCTTCTGCTGCGGCCAGCCAGCCTCAAGAGCCACCAAGGGAACTCGCAGGTGAGTCAACGGGGTGAACTACAGATTTGAGTCAAGGTAAGGCGGACGCTCCTCCTCCTCCCCCGCCCTCTGCTTCTGCTGCGGCCAGCCAGCCTCAAGAGCCACCAAGGGAACTCGCAGGTGGGTCAACGGGTTGAACTACAGATTTGAGTCAAGGTAAGGCGGACGCTCCTCCTCCTCCCCCGCCCTCTGCTTCTGCTGCGGCCAGCCAGCCTCAAGAGCCACCAAGGGAACTCGCAGGTGAGATGGAAGAATGGTGAAATGGACTTCGAAATTCTAGCACTTGTGGCTTCCACATGCCTCACAAACGTTCTAGGGGCGCATTTTTATATGGTTCTCTAAGTTCTTCGAAATTCGTGCTGTTTCGTTCTTGCTTCTCTGTATCATTGCTGCCTTCAGGCTTCCTGTGGTAGGTCAGCTCCAAGGGGGGCTGGAGCAAGCAAATGCTTGTACATGCCCTTTGAAGGCTGAGGGAGGGGTTGTTGGAAGGTTCTGCAAGATTTCTGCTCCTTTTCTCTCCTCTTTCCTGTCTCTTGGCTTCCAGGCTTCCTATGGAAGGTCGACTCCAAGGGGGAGTGGAGCAAGTGATGGTTCTCTGTCGAGACGTCTCACAACTATTTTCCGTTCTGTCTCCACTTTGTCTCTCCTTGTCTCCTCTTGTCTCCCCTTGTCTCCCCTTGTCTCCCCTTGTCTCCCCTTGTCTCCCCTTGTCTCCCCTTGTCTCCCCTTGTCTCCCCTTGTCTCCCCTTGTCTCCCCTTGTCTCCCCTTGTCTCCCCTTGCCTCCCCTTGTCTCCCCTTGTCTCCCCTTGTCTCCCCTTGTCTCCCCGTGTCTTTCCTTGTCTCCGCTTGTCTCCCCGTGTCTCCCCTTGTCTCCCCTTGTCTCCCCTTGTCTCCCCTTGTCTCCCCTTGTCTCCCCTTGTCTCCTCTTGTCTCCCCTTGTCTCCCCTTGTCTCCCCTTGCCTCCCCTTGCCTCCCCTTGCCTCCTCTTGCCCATCGCGCGTTGCCTCCAGGCTTCCTGTGGAAGGTCAGCTCCAAGGGAGGATGGAGCAAGCGCTGGTTCGCCCTCAGTGACAAGACAGCCAGGGTGAGTGATGAGAGTGATAGGGTGAGTGATAAGACTGTAAGGGTGGATGATCAGAGTGATAGGGTGAGTGATAAGCGTGAGAGGGGGATTGATGAGCGTGATAAGGTAAGTTAGTTCAAGGCCGTGAAGCACACAGCTTGCACTGTCATTGACTCCCAAAAGCATCCCCTCGTTGCACCCCCATTTCCGCTCCCTTTCCATGCGCCTTGACTGGTTTTTGAGATTTCTAAAAAACCGGCTGGATTATGAGAAGGCTCCTGCGTTTGCCATTCTCCTCCCTAACCCTTCCCCTCTTCTCGGCTTCCCATTTCCCTGCATTCGTCCCCTTGCAGCTGTACTATGTGAAGAAGCCGGATGAGAAGACTCCCAGAGGCGTCATCCCTCTAGAGGTGAGTGAGTGGTCGTTTTTGAGAGTTCTCAAAAACCAACGGCCATCTCTGAAGGCTTGTTTCGTGTGTGGTGTGTTGTCATGTTGACGATCGACTTCTTTTGAGGCGCCTCAAAAGTTGTTTCGTGTGTGGTGTGTTGTCTTGTTGATGCAAGACTTTAGCTCACACTCACCAGGACTGCGTGGTGGTTAGCAACCTGTCTCCTGATGAGGCTCCGTCTCCGTTGGACTTCAAGCCTGACTTAAAAAAGACAACTAAACACTTTCACCTTCCCCACCCCTCTACCCCAGCCCTCCCACCCTCCCGCTCTCTAACCCATCCCTCCTACCCACCTGCCGCCCCTGTCACCAGGATTCTTAGTGGAGGGCAACCTTTTCCAGAGGGGGTGCCATCTGCATTGGACCTCTCAAGTCCTCCACCTTCTTGAGGCGATTTTTGAGGCGCCTCAAAAATCCTCTCTAGTCCTCCACCTTCTTGAGAGCTCTCAAAATTGACTTGAGGGAGACGAAACCCAACTCATCCCCTTCCCCTCTACCCCACCCCCCTCCCATCCCTCTCGCCCTCCTGCCCTCTCATGACTGCATAGTGGAGGACAACCTGTCCTTAGAGGAGGTCCCATCCTCAAGTCCGGCCTCATTTCCAACCCTCACATCCCCCTCGCCATCCTGCATTCCCAGGACTGCATAGTGTAGGACAACCTGTCCCCAGAGGAGGTCCCCCCCACTGTTTCGGATCTCAAGTCCTGCCCGGACACAGCGTTACTCTTGTTGCCAAACCCCTACATCCACATCCCCCTCGCCCTCCTGCCCTCTCAGGACTGCATTGTGGAGGACAACCTGTCCCCAGAGGAGGTCCCCTCAGCGTCGGACCTCAAGTCTGGAAGCCCTTCAGCTCAATCGCTGTCGTTCAAAATCAGTAATCGCACCCCGTACAAGACCGTGGTCAAAGGTGAGTATGAATTTTCAGTCATCTTTGAGAATTCTTAAAAAAGACTCGAATTGAGCTGGTCAAAGGTGAGTATTCCTTTTTTAGTTATTAGTAATCGCACCCTGTACCATGGTCAAAGGTACAAGACCATGGTCTAAGATACAAGACCATGGTCAAAGGTGAGTGTAGAGTTGTCAGTCTTCACACCTCGTGGGGTCTCTGGTTGTGGTACAAGGATATAGGTACAAGACCGGGTTAGCCCCCCTTCTTTCCGCCTTCCTGAATCCCTCTTTTTCTCTCATCCCTTCTCCAACCCCCTCTCCTTCTCGCACCCCCCCCCCTTGCTCCAGTGCACAACTCCCTCATCCTTCGAGCCGACAGCTTAGCAGAGAAGCAGCAGTGGGTGCAGCGGCTGCGCAGCCACACCAAGGCGTTCAAAGAAGCCCCCTCGCCCCCGCCAGAAGCAGCAGGAGGGGAGGGGGACGACGCAGGGGGGGCGGATGGGGAGAGGCATGAGGGGGAGAACGGGCCTGGGGGCGTCCCCCCTGCGCCTGGGCTCCAGGGGGGACCTGGGGGAGGGGTAGCTGGGGGGGGAACCAGCGGGTGGTGAGTCCGGAGGAGGAGTTGAAGGCCATGGCGACAGAAGTGAGGAGATACGTGCATGCTGTGCTGGCGCACCTGGCGGACAACATCCCCAAGGTAGGTGTGAGGGTATGCTGTTTTGAGTTCAAGGAAGACAAAAGTGAGCAGAGATGTGCATTCTGTCTGGCGCATCTGGGTGACACCCTGGGCTCGTCGTTCCCAGGGTGGGTTCTTTCTTCTGCAACCTTCATCCTCAAGGGGCCCTTTTTCCGACAATGTATACACACTTCATCAGGCACACTTCATCAGGCACACTTCATCAGGCACACTTCATCAGGCACCTAGTGTACTGAGGTGCAGCCGCCTGCCATCTGTTGCCACCGAGCCACAGCAACTCAGCAACAGGCATATTATCCTTGAGCTCATTGTGTGCCCCTCACTTAGCCCTTCTTACATGATCACTCCTCATGCTCTCTCCCATCCTTAATCCCTCCAGAAACCCCTCCCTTGCCACCAGCCCATAGGGCGGGCTGACTCAAGAAGAGAAGGCTATGGATGCCACACATGTCCGTGTTCTCACCCGCACACCGGCCCTCGCTCTCATTCACTCCCCTCCCCATGCCTTCTCTTGCTTTCCCCAGGCCATAATGTTAGCCCAAGTAGAGAAGGCTGAGGACGCCATGCTGATCTTCCCTTGCTCTCGCTCACACTCACTCCCCATGCCCACCTGCGGTCGTTCCCTTCGTTTTCTCCCCATGCCTTCTCTTGCTTTCCCCAGGCCATAGTTCTGACTCAAGTGGAGAAGGCCAAGGACGCCATGCTCACAAAGCTGTACCAGAAAGTCAGGTGCGCTATGTGGTGTAGTAAGGAGTATACTTCAATAAAAAAAACTCATAATCTTAACAGCAGGAAAGCAGGAAAGCAAAGCTCCTACACCTCCTGCCACTTCATTCCTGTGTACAACAGGCTGGCAAGGCGCTCTGGGGAAGCATCCTATTCTGTTTCCTTTGCTTGCTCTGTGGCTCCCCCAGTCTCCCTTTCACGGACTTGGCCATGTCAGCGTGTCATTGCAGGGCGCTCTGCTGTCACGCACTTACCTCAATCTCCTCTCTCTCCGTCTCTTTGTCTCTGCCTCCCCCGATCTTTCCCTCCCTCAGTGAGCTGTCGGACGATAGCTTATCAGTGCTGCTGCAGGAAGATATGGAGAGCAAGGCCAAGCGAGAGCGGTTCAAGCACCTGCAGGGGGCTCTGCTGAAGCTGAAGCGTTCTCTCAGCTTGCATGAGGCCAGAGCGTCAGCGGAAGAAGAGGCTGGAGGAGGTGAGAGAGTGAGGGAGTGAGTGTGTAAGGGAGTGAGGGAGTGAGTGTAAGGGAGCGAGGAGTTGTGCATGTGAGCGAGAGAATGTGTCAGCCTGAAAGGGAAAGGTTTAACCTCTTGCAGGGATGTATGCTGAAGCAATTGCTGAGTCTGCATGAGGCCAGGGCTTTGGCAGAAGAAGAGGCTGGAGGAGGTGAGAGAGTGAGGGAGTGTGAGGGTGTGAGGGAGTGTGAGGGTGTGAGGGAGTGTGAGGGTGTGAGGAAGTGTGAGGGTGTGAGGGAGTGTGAGGGTGTGAGGGAGTGTGAGGGTGTGAGGGAGTGTGAGGGTGTGAGGAAGTGTGAGGGTGTGAGGGAGTGTGAGGGTGTGAGGGAGTGTGAGGGAGTGTGAGGGAGTGTGAGGGTGTGAGGGAGTGTGAGGGTGTGAGGGAGTGTGAGGGTGTGAGGGAGGGTGAGGGTGTGAGGGAGTGTGAGGGTGTGAGGGAGTGTGAGGGTGTGAGGGAGTGTGAGGGTGTGAGGGAGTGTGAGGGTGTGAGGGAGTGTGAGGGTGTGAGGAAGTGTGAGGGTGTGAGCAAGTGAATGTGTGAGCCAGAAATAGACAGAGGTTTAAGCACCTGCAGGGCGCCCTGCTAAAGCTGAAGCGATTGCTCAGTCTGCATGAGGCCAGGGCATGAGCGGAAGCAGAGGCTGGAGGAGGTTAGAGAGTGAGGGAGTGAGGATGTTCGCTAGATTATGTGTCGACCTAAAAGAGATCTGTTCGAGCACCTGTAGGGGGGCCTGCTGAAGCTGAAGTGGTCCCTCAGCTTGCATGAAGCACGTGCATCAGCGAAAGAAGAGGCCAGTGGAGGTGAGAGAGTGAGGGATTGTGCGGGGGTGGGGGAAGAAAGGTGTGTGCAGTGCAGGGATGAGAAGCTATGTACGAGGCGGGTGTGAGAAGTCTAGTTTTGAGGCGCCTCAAAACTAGCTATGTAGGAGGCGGGTGTGAGAAAGTGTCAGGGACAAAGAGGGTGAGGGTAGGGGAGGAGAGGGGTCAGACTAACGGGCAGAGTCCAACAAGGTTTTCTTAATGGCGTCATAATGTCCGTGCAGGAGGAAAACCCATCATGTGTTCCCTTGGACCTTATACCTTCTTCCCCTTCTGCATCCCCTCCTTTCCCCCCCGCACCAGGTGAGAAGGATAAGGTGGACGACTGGCGAGCGGCGTTCCACAAGGCATCGTGACCTCAGTGGAGGAGGAAAAATTCCCCTTTTCCCCCTTACACAGCACCCTTGCACCTTTGTCCCTCTTCTCCTTGCCCCCACCTCAGGTGAGAAGGATAAGGTGGACGACTGGAGAGCAGCATTCAACAAGGCATCGCCCATGACCTCAGTGCAGGAAGAATTACCGTCCCCCAAGTCCTCTGCTCCTGCTCTCTCCCCAACCTCCTCCAAGCCTGCCCGAACCTCCTCCGGACCTCCCAAGGGATCAGGCTCGGCAGGAGCAGGAGGAGGAGGGGCAGGTTCGTCCCCCGCTCCTGGCGCCTCCCCTGCTGCATCTCAAGCTGTTGCCTCCGCTGCTGCTGCTGCTGCTGCCGCTGCTGCTGCTGCTGCAGCGGCAGGGAGAGGGGGAGCAGGAGCAGGAGGGGGGGCAGGAGGGGCAGGCGGGGCAGGCGGGGCTGGTTCTGCAGGCTCCCCTTCCCCATCCATCTCGTATGCTCCGAGAACCAGCATGAGCATGGCGCCATCTACAACCAGTCCCATGGGAGGGGGCGGGGGCATGGGCATGCCTGGCAGCTCAAGCCTTGGGGGGTATGGTGGGAGTGTTGGCATGAGCAGCAGTGCTGGCGCAGCAGCAGGTTTCGGCAGCGGCAGCAGCGGAGGTGCTAGGGGAACACCGCCTATGGGTGCTCCTCCTATGGGCAGTGCGCCAATGGGCCAGCCAATGGGGCAGCCGATGGGTGCACCTATTGCGACGGGCCCTCCCCGCAATCCGTCCCCGCTGCGGCAGATGCTGAGTGGTGTGGGCATGGGCAGGAGAGTTCCCCCGCCTCCCCCAACCACCTCTGCCCCCACGTATAAATACCCTTAACTCTGCCATTGAGAAAGCTTGCTTTCTTGTCCTTTGCAATAGGCATCGTTCTCATTTCAAGTGGCATGGTACAATAGTCGCTTACTAGCTTATAAGAATCTAAACATACACGCATCATGATCCTAGTTGTGTGCTCCCGTTCAAGTGACCGGCTGTCCATTGGAGATGGGCGGTTGTCTAGAGGGGGGGGGGGTGGGAAGGTTGACTGAGCCGTTTGAAAAATGAGAGACGTGGGTGGAGGTAAATGAGCTCCAACCCAGGTATATGTAGTTGGAGAAGGGCGAGTAGCGCGCTTCGACGATGCCCAACGCTTCAGTACAATCAGCTTCGCTTTCACAATACACAATTCTTGAAAAACACTACGTGTGTTAAAAATTATAATATTGAGAAAGCTTGCTTTCTTGTCCTTTGCAATAGGCATCGTTCTCATTTCAAGTGGGGTCGTTGAGACATGTGCAGTGGGGGCTTGCGGTGGCGGAGAAGTGCCTCAGCATGTTGTGCAGAGGATGGTGCCGCCGCCGGGTCTTGCAGGCGTCGAGACGCCCCAACCAGATGATCGGTCGCGGGCGTGACGTACATCTCTTTCGCGGTTTCACTACGCCAACGGCCCAGGCGTTTGAAGATCCTGTCAGGAACCCCAGAGTTGGCAGCAACTGTGGCCGCGCCTTTCCGAAAGGAGTGGGTGCCGAGGTGCTCTTCTCCCAGACCGATTTTCGCGAAGGCTTCCTTGCACCAGTTGCGGATTGTGGTGTATGAGGGCGGTCTGGCTGTGCCGTGGCTCGGTAGGTGGGGTCCGAAGACCCGGATGAGCGGTCCCAAGGACTGGAGGCTGTATCCTGCGAGTTGGATGAGCCTCTGGGTGCCCTGGACCGGACAAAAGGGTCCGGGGCTTGCCGCGATAGGGATCCAGGTGCCTTGGCCGGCTTGGTCGGTTTTTGAGTGGGGGATGAGTAGCCACATCGCTTCATCTTTAAATTGGATGTCCTGCCATTGGATGGCCACCAGGTCCGAGTAGCGCAAGAAACCGGCGTACATGAGAATCGGGATCAGTCCTTTTTGGAACACAGCCGGGTTAGTTGACTGTAGGAAGGAGGCTGCCATATCGTGGACCTGATGGAGTGAGACTGGCTCTTTAATCCTGTTAGGGCGCAGGCAGTGTCGCTTCGCGAAGTCGCGCACTTGGGAGGTGAAAGGGCCGGTGGTTGGGCATGTTGAGCCTGTCATCCTGTGGGCAAAGCTCACGGCGGAGCATGTGAGCTGAACCACCGACAAGGAGGCCTTGCGTTGGATGACATACACAAGATAGAGCGCGAGGGTCATGTCCGATGCCGGCAAGAACGTTAGGTTGACCTTCGTGCAGAAGGCGCGGAACTTCACCCAGTAAGGCTCGTATGTTCGGATGGTCGAGTCGGCACGAGAGCGGGCGAGCATGGAAAGCAGGTCATGTTGGAGCTTTGGGAGCAGATCTGGGGACAGGCGAGGGAGTCTAGTTAGTCAAATATCACGCGGAGTGCGACGATAGTGCTGTTGGGTAATCCTGTGCCTGAGAATGCTTGACTATGTGTGCCGACTGTAAGACACTGGCTGCCGTGTGTAAGAGGGATATGTGCTTGGATGTGTGGGTCCCACGATGGAGGGGAGGGCTGGAGGAGCGGCCACCAGCTTGCGCCAGGCCAGTGTGGGACTATGAGGGTGAGAGATGCGCTCGTGCGTTGTGCGTGATGGAGTACTGCGGGGATGAGTTGGGGCGGTGGGAATGCAAAGCTGTTCTCAGCCGTCCAGGCAAGTGAGAAGGCGTCGGCTGCTGTAGCATCGGGGTGGGGGACCTTAGAGCAGAAACGCGGCAGGTGTGCATTTTGGGGGTTGGCGAATAGGTCAATGGAGTGGGGCCCCCAGCGACGCTCGAGGAGGCGAAACCATGGGAGCTTCAACGAGTAGTCATCGTGGTCGACTAGCTTGGAGAGCTCGTCTGCGCGACCATTCAGATCGCGTGGGATCCATTCGATGATTAGCCGAATCTCGAACTCCATGCATTTTTGGATGATGCCTTTGCACATGGTGGTGAGGTCGGGACTTCGGGAACCTCCTTTGCGAAGGATAAAGAACACGCCCTGGTTGTCCACCCGCACGAGCACGTGTTTCTTCCGGATTCTAGGCGCGTACGTCTGTAGCGCCCACAGCACGCCGGCGAGCTCTCTTTGTGTGCTGGAGGTTGGATGAAGGGCTCCGGGCATTGCCGCGCTGGCCTCTATCGCGGCTCCAGGGAATGTGTTCAGCGTGGCACCCCAGCTGTGGGCACTTGCGTCTACGTGGATGACAGCATCGTAGCTGTGCCGCACATGGAACGGGGCACCGTTGAAACGGTCGAACTCTTGGATCCAGAATCTCAGCTCTTCGATGGCGGGTGGGGAGAGGATGACCATGCTGGTCCATGTCGGCGCGTCGTTGATTGTTTCTAGCATGGCGTGGCTGAACGCTCGGGTGGCGGTGCCGAGTGCGACAGCCATCGATGCCAACATGCCTGTAACTCGGGCCAGTTGCCGGACTGGGACTTTCCGCTGAGCTGAGCTTGCGCGCAGTAGGGCATGGAGGGTGGCGTTGAGTGTGGCTCGCCGCTCCTCGCCGATGGAGAACCGGCCGGCCTGTGTGTCAAGTTCTACGCCAAGGAACCGAAGGTGTTGTGTTGGTATCAGCTTTGACTTTTTTGAGTTGAGTACGAGCCCGGCAGCCTTGAGATCGATAACGATCCGTTGGCACGTGGCTTGAGCGTGTGCCTGGGTCGAGCACAGGAAGAGGATATCGTCCACGTAGGGTATCACGCGGACCCCCTGCTCCCGCCATCGCAGAGCTAATTGCTTGATGAGCTGCGTGAAGACGAATGGTGCTGTGGCGAGGCCGAACGGCAAGGATCGGAAGGCGTATGTGCGCCCGTCGAATTCAAAGCCGAGGAACGTCCAGCACGAGGGGTGGATGTCGACATGGTGGTAGCCTGATTTCAAGTCGATGGAGAACATCCAATCTCCTTGGCGGGCGAGGTCCGCTACTCGGTTGAGTCCCTCATATTTAAATTTGGGGACGATTATTGCGTCGTTCACCTTTCGGAGATCCAGAATCATGCGACACTTGTCTTTCTGCTCGACCACGTTGAGTGGGCTTATGCATCTCAGTTTCGCCGCAGGAATTTGGATGGCCGCGCCGGTCTCGGTGAGTTCAAGGATGGCCGTGCGCGTGAATGCTTCGTGGATGCGTGCGCCGGCATGGTTGCGATCGTGAAAGGCCGGCAACGGCCCGAGTTTCCATGGCATCCAGTATCCTTTGGCAATGACTGAGAGGATGAAACTGCTAGTGCACCACGAGCTCCACCAAGCGAACGTGGTACGTAGGCGGCCACGCATTTTGGTGACCATCTTGTCAGTAACCGCGTATTCGTAGGGGTCACTGTTGTGTGCACATTCGCGAAGTCTGGTGCCTGTGGGAGTGCCATCATGCAAGGAGACGCAAGGGACGAATACTTGAGTTCATCTGTAGGGCTGATGCCTACCGGAAACCTAGAGCGTGGGGGGGGGGAGTGTGAAGCCTAGTGGCTGAGGAGGGCGTGCCGGGTTGAGGTGCCCCATGCGAGCAAGATGCTTAGGTCGGTGGGTGCCTGCGCTTTGAGCGGGTCTGAGCGGCGTGACCTGCGTGTGTGTCGGTTTGCACGCCTACGCATGTCGAGCTTGCGTTCGAACCTGAGCCCCGATGTTTGCTTCCCTTGGTGCCCTCGTATTCCCACAACTTGTGCCTTCACCCGCGCTTCTACTCGCGAACGCATGTTACCCTCTTATTGCCGCCTTCGCTTGCGCTATCATTTCTTGGGTTTTGAGACTCAACGCCCGTGGTTTTTTTTTTTTTTTTTTTTTTTTTTTTTTTTTTTGGTCTTTCTTCTAGCCACCTCTTGTGTGCTTGTGTGGCATGCGTGCGGTGTTGTGTTGCTATTCCCGTTCGTGGGCCATACCGCGTGCGTGCGCGCATGCTTATGTGACTTGTTTTTTTTTTTTTTTTTTTTCCAATGCCAAGCTGGGCAGCCCTAGATGAGGCTGGTGTGGCTGTTCCTGTATGCCCACGGGGGGGTAATGCTTAGGGTCCAGGGTGTAGCACACCGGGTTGGAGGGTAGGCGCCTTGTGAAGGCTCGCATAATGCTTGAATTCTGTTTTTTTTTTTTTTTTTTGCATGTCCAATCGAGGAGCAACGCTGTGTGGGTAAGTGGCGGGCCATTGGTGTTCCTGATGGCCTTCCTTCTCCGGCCGGGGGTGCTGCGTGACATGCAGCGGGGGTTGAGCCACCCACTATGCTTCCCCGTTCCGTGCTCAATCCCCCCCCACCTCTTTTTTTTTTTTTTTTTTTTGCTGCGCCTCTTGTGGTGCTGCTCCCCCTTTTCTCTGGTTATATTAGGGGACCAAGACCTGAAAAAAAATGAAGGACCGTGGCTCCTTATTTTAACCAAGCTTTATCTCTACTCAACATGCTCCTAGGCATGCAAAGTCCGCCTTGCAAGGTCGGGCTATCATTTGGGACCGAGGGGGCATGTTCCCCTTCCCTTGCTCTGATCCTAGGGCCTTCAATTGGCCTACACTAGGGCTGGCCCTCTGCCACCCGTGCCCCTAAGGGGTGGGCCCAATGGCCTACGCACACACCGGGTGCCTTGCGCCTTGCGCCACTTGCGCAAGCGCCCATGGCCCGACCCCTACACTACTGGTGCGGGTCCTTGGCCACCATGCCCAATCGCCGGGCAGCCGCTGGCCACATGCCTCGGCTGGCCACAGCGGAAGCAAGTGCCTCGGAAGCCACGGAATTCTCCCGTAGGCGGCGGACCACGCTTTGGCACGAACGGCGTGGGCATGCGGCCGCCTCCGCGATTTCCACGAGCAAATCCGCCCTCGGCGCGGTCCATTGCGGCCACGTCAGCGACGGCCTGCTTGAAAGGCCTTGAGGTAAGCAAACTCTTCTGCTGGTACAGCTTGAAACGCTTGGCCGTGCGGAAGTCGGAGGCGTCTTCGACTTGGAGAACTTCGAAGCGTCGTGATATGAGGGCGAGCGCGTCGGCGAGGAATTCGAGGCCGCGCGGCGCGTCGCCGTGCTGCACCTTGAACTCGGCGTGCTTCAGGTATGCCCGAAGGTCCTCCAGGACTTCCGCTTGCTCGCGTACGGCCGCGTTGAGGAAAGACGCCGCCGAGAGGGTGGTGTGAGTGGTCGGGAGTGGTGGGAGATGCTCCATGGGAATTGAATTTGCAGCAGTGCCGGGGACCTCACCAGCGTCATTGTCGGAGTCGTCGCTGTCGTTGTCGGCCGCCG